AAAGCACACACATTGTTTTCATATCACCAGCACTCAGTAAGATCTACAGTGAGCTGTGAGGAATTTTTTGATTAATTGTTACAGTATTAAATCACAAAGATGACATAGAAACCAAATAAAGTTAAAAAACAGCAGCCGTGATGCAAAGAACAGAGAAACTTCACCACTGGTGACTCACGATGTGTCACATTTTACCTTTTTGGTAAATTTGCTGCAGAGAGCCCAAGCAGAAACAAAAAGGTTTATGAGTCAGCAGTTAAACCACCTTTTGAGGTGGATGGTTTAACTCGGCAAAGGAGAAGTGCTCACTAACACAGATTTTGACAGATTTGTGAACAATATTTGGGAGAAATAGGCCTTTTGTGTATATAGAGAAAGTCTTAGACCTTTGAGTTCAGCTCATGATGAATGGGGGCAAAAACAAAAGTGTCGTGTTTATAATTTTGTTCAGTGTATACAGCTCGCATGTTACTGTGATGTAGAGACAGAGCTCAGTTTAAACTTTATGGATGAAAGATACTTTTGTTACAGATTAATAACTCACCACTCTGAAACTCTTGCTCCAGTCCATGTTGCCAAGCTGGTCTGCAACATGTAACTTCTGAACCGAAGCTGTTTACGGGCTTCTGATTGGCTAGTAGTCCTTAACTAGGAACTGCCCATGTGCAACTCCCAACAAAGATCATGTAGAGGTAAGATGTATCACTCCATAGCTAAAATGAAGTGTTAAACACGGTGAAAAGAGGAGCTGCAGCAATGTGCAGTATGACAAAAAATATGGTGTTTTTTGAAAATTAAACCATGTAAACCTGTTCTGGTACAACCCCTAATTAAGATTTTGACCTGAAAATGAGCATAATACCACCTCTTTAGTGTAGTTCAGAATTTTTCAAAGTAAAAGCTCAGTTCAACTCCATTACTGCTTTACAGTAAACAAGCTTCTCGTGGCATTTTCTTTGCAGGCAAAACCACTAAAGAGGAAGTGATTATGTGAGTTGCTGTCATGACTGAGATCTATTTCAATCAAGTGTTTATTTATATTTTTTTGCCACTATCAAAGCACCATAATCTGACTGCGGGCCAGATATTATTGTTGTCGGGCAGTTTTGGTCCATGTTTCCCTTGTCCTGTGGCTCAGGAGGTAGAGTGGGTTGCCTGTTAATCAGAAGGTTGGCATTTCAATCACCTGCTCCTCCAGGCTGCATGTCGTAGTGTCCTTGGGCAAGATACTGAACCCCTAATTGCCCCTGGTGGCTGTTTCGGTTAGAGCACTTAGGCTCAATGTGACATAGTGTAAAAGCGCTTTGAGTGGTCAAAAAGACTATACAAATACGGAGGATTTATCTAATGGACAATGGACTGTAGTGCAGTGACAGTGTTTCACACTCTTGGCTTACATTTTCCATGTTATCTGTCAGAGGCCAAGTCACAGTAACATATGGTTTTACTGAATAACTAATTAAATATGTATCGAAACTTAATAAATATACCTAAAGAGATTTCTAATTGGCCACTTGACTGGCCGCTCTTTGAGAAGAGAGACCTTTTGTGCTGTATCAGCTACCATACCTACGCTCTTTGAAAGGTTAGAGGGCAGTGGTAGACTGGACCGATGGTTGCAATTCACAACCATCACCACTAGGTGCCACTAAATCTTACACACTGAACCTTTAAGCTGTTCATTCATCGTTGAAGTAAAGTTGTGAGGTGGAGGTGGTGTATGAAGCGGTTCATCAGTCATGGAGAAATCAATCACAGGTGGGACTAACAACTTTAACCCTCTCTATCTGTCTGTGTGGCTGTTGGAATTAAAGTGATATTATGAGATAGTTGAAGCGCCCGCCTACACCGACTGACAGCAGGGGGTAGTGATGTGCGGATTGATCCTAAAGTATCGATATTTCTGATACCAACGTTTCCTGCTCTTGGATCGATATCTAAACTCAGTCATTTGGAGTGAGTTTGTGTTTTATCATAAGTATTTTACTGTCACCAGGATGGTCTAATTATAGGCTACTCGGTTGATAGGAACTACTTTTCCTTTTGCTGTCAAAGTCATGCTTGCGCTACGGCTCTGTGACGGAGCTTCTTTGAAGTGAGCAGCTGCAGCCCTTTACATTTCCTGCGTTTGAATACTTACTATGGCTGACTGTAAAACACGTCTGGCTGTGTTTTAGCTGTGAAGGTAATAACGACGCTGTACATGATGTGTGTGCAAAGACAGTGAAATACTTTGGCAACACTGCAGACTTTGCTAAACATCTGAAATTAAGTCTGTCACAATGTTATGAAGTGGCAGTTCTGAGCAGGATATTTTCATTATAATTAAAGAATATGACAGTAGTTTGATGTCTTGTCATTATGCAGCTATTATTTTGAATTGGTAAGGCTACAGCCTCCTCCTTACTTCTCTCATAAATACAGAAACGGGAGAGGGAGGTCACATAACTAGAAATAAAATATGTAAAAAGTATTGGTATTGGTATCGGCAATACCAGCCTGGGTTTTACTTGGTATTGTATCGGACAGGAATTAATTGGTATCGCACATCACCAGCAGAGGCGCTGTCACTGCAGAAAAACAAATAAAACTCAAATATCTTATTTATTGGTAATTATAATTCTTACTAGGGTGGCACAGTGGTTGCAGTCCAGGGTTCAAACCTTGGTCGTTTACGGCTTTTCTGTGGGGAGTTTGCATGTTCTCCCCGTGTCTGCGTTGGTTCTCTCCGGGTGCTCCGGCTCCCTCCCACCGTCCGAAGACATGCAGGTTCACTGGTGACTCTAAAGGTGTGAATGTGAGTGTGAGCGGTTGTTCGTTTCTATGTGCCCTGTGATGGACTGGCGACCTGTCCAGGGTGTACCCTGCCTCTCGCCCTATGCCCGCCGCGACCCTGCACGGATTAACAGGCATAGAAGATGACAAGACTGACAATTCTGATCAAATATGTGCACAAGTCAGAGTAAACACTAAGGATTTATAGACTGATTTCTCAGCAAAAAATTAATTTTAGTTTTGTTACAAACAAAATATACAGGAAGTGAAGCACATACAGCACACAAATCAAGCTGGAAAATCTGTCAAACACTGGTCACAAGAAGGCAATTTAATTCAGTCAACAAAGTGTACAGCTTTAAATAAAGTTATTTGGACTTAAAAGCGAGCTGAGTTTTTTTCCTGAATTTCTCAAAATTGAAATTAAAATGATTGTAGAGCAAAACATCTTGGAGCGGAGGTGAAAAGCCACCAATGATCAGTTGTTCATTTCATCTCATCATTCAGCGTCCATTCATCTCATTCCTCAGAACGAGTTTGTGTGGGGATGAGTCATTCAGTACAAGAGAAAAGTGTGTCATCCACGCAGAAAGCCCACGTATAATTTGAAAATAAGGAAAAAGACACTTTCACCATGAAACAGATTCAGACTTGAGCATCAAGGCTGCAGAGCTCTTTTAATGACGTCATTGCATCCCTATGTGTGGCTTCTTGACTTTGTGGTCATTTCACAACTCTTCACAGTCAGTTTGTCTCTTTGTGGTTGTGTTAACACTTCAAACAGAGGTTCAGGCCGACAGAGCCCCTTGACAATGTGCTATTGTACAAAATACAATGTCTAATTGTCTGTGAACACATTTGATAGACTAGTGCCAGATGATGAAGATGAGGAAGTAACAATCTGCGTCACCCCAAAAGTGAATCATTTCACTTTACACCTAACAGAAAAAATATTTAACTGAGTGTCCTCCTGTGGACATGAACCTCTGAATAAATCTTTTCTTCTTTCTTGTGGTAAAAACATTTGTGACATAGTAAGCGAGGGGTGTAAAGTCCCATAAATCCCACTCTTACACATGCCTATAACACCACTGATCCCTGTGCTGACTTGCAGGACAGGCAACACCACTGCTGTGTTGACCTCACCCAAATACACAACATCCTGTCTAACTTGTGCCAAAAGTGCAAAAAGTTAGAGGAAACTGAAATTTGACCGCACATTTATGAAACTCTCTCCCTTATATAAAGCAAAGTCAACTCACAACCTTCACTCTTGGAGGAAGAGAGTGAGGAGGAGAGGTAGGTGCACACACACTACTTTAAAAATTGCCATTTTTACAATACTGCATGTTTGAGGACACGTCGGCATATTCCACTGAAGGTTTAAGAACACATTCTCAGTGAATGTGTTTTTAAACCTTCAGTGGAATATGCCGACGTGTCTTCCTGACTGATAAAAGCAGATGTGTCCCGTGTTTGTCCTTAACAGTTTCAAACCATGTTTACAGTTTAAGGTTGCAAAACTGTGAAGTAATCAATTTAACAGAAGATCTTATAAATATACGCACAGCAGAATTGAGATGGTGTTTAAGTAAAAACCTTCTGTAAGGTTTAACTTCCCAGTTAAAGAAGTATGTGAGGGAGTTTTTTCCTTATCTGGATCCAGAGTCTAAAGATAAAGGAGGCTGTTTATTGTGCAGATTTTAAAGCCCATTGGCACAATTGTTTTTACAGTATATGTGATGTTGGGTTATATCAATATAACCTAATGTACTAAATGTACTTGACTGTGCATTTAAAGTCTCCCTTCACCTGATTATTATAACTTTCGGACCTATTAAAAGAACGTGAGCGCCATATTTTTACTGTTTGCATAAAGATCTCAACAAAATATTTGAACCTCTGTGCAGCATTTTTGCATCTGATGAGCCTTCAAACTGTTGGAAGTGTTTTCATGCAACACGCCCCCATCCACACAGCCTGTTCTCAGTCTGAATGCAGAGTAAAAAGTAAAGCCTCGCAGAGCCATTAGCGTGGCTGTAGACTCGCTTCACTATCAATGCAGATTGGTCTTTATGCTAAGCTAGGCTAAACACAGAACTGAAAATATTGAAATTTCCTAATTTTCTTGTCTCATCCCTGTATTGTTGTAATTGCAGTGATGTTTAGTTTCTTCATATGGAATCCTTCTGAAGTCTTTACGCTAACAATCCTCTTTCCTACAGTTCTGACACCAACATGCAGTACCAGTGGGCTGAAGATGACTGTATTCTGCCCCCTGGGGTTTGTCGACTGGACGGTGGTGCACCAGATTGTGGTAAGACGTACATCATGTACCACGGCACCACCAGGCAGAAAGCTCAGTCCATCCTGGCTACAGGTTTTCAGCAGTCTGCAGACGGGATGCTCGGCCGCGGCGTCTACCTCAGCAGAGACCTGCAGAAAGCTAGCTGCTATCCCATTAATCACCCTGAGTGTGACAATGTCGTCATCAGGGTTCTGGTCAACGTGGGGCAAGTGATCTCCATCACTTATCAAGGCCATCCACGTCAGAAAACCTGGCATGACTGCAGATACGGACCGGTGTACGACACCGCCTGGATGATACCCAGGTGTGAAATGGTGCCAAGCGTTTTGCAGGATTGTGTCTGGGATCCCTGTCGAATCCAGATCATTGATATCATCAACCCGTGCCCCATCCAAGTCTTCCCTGGATGTGTTCCATGTGTATACACGGGCTGTTAGCAATTTATTTTGTATGTTCAAATGTATTTTTACATATTTGGATAAAAAGTAAATTACACTTTGTTACTGTGTCATTGTAACCTGGAAAATAAACGGGTGGTCTTAAACCTGAGCTGCTGTCTGGTTTGTTGAAAGTGAGATCAGTATATATTTTTTATTTTGAGATATCTGCCTCTGAGTATGAAGGACCGATCCTGACACATTCAGAAATAAATACAGAAATAAATAAATGCTCAATAAATAAATAAGCATCCGATTAAATACACAAAAAAAAAAGTAAATAAATAAATGTAGGTAGTAATTAAATTATACAAGGAGACATAAATGTATATATCTATTTTAATTACCTTATTTATTTATTGTCCGTTATAATCTTCAACTTCATTTATTAATTACTTCTTTTTTAAATGTATTTATTTATGTGTGTGTTTTAATATTTTTGTGTGTTTTATTCAAGCGTTGCATTTTTTACCCTATTTATTTTCACCCATGGTATTTATTTCTGCCTCATTATGCAAATGAGGAGGGGCTGTGTCTCAAGGGGTCATCTTCTCTGCTATTGGTGGACCAGTCAGACAGGAGAGCTCCTACTCTGCCTGCAGACATCAACGATCTTGCCCCTCACACAGTCAGATGGCTTCCTTCAGTGCGCTGAGGTGTTTAACAACTCTGAAGACAATACTACCAGCAATGTCTTCCTTCTCTTTTCACGTAGAAGCACAGACAGACAGTGCTTTCAGTTTGCTGCATGCATGGACACAGAACTGCGGTATAGGGAGAAGCACACGGTCAGCTGGCTGCAGCTAAATCTGGAGTGCACTCGTATTCAATTCTGTATGGTAAATTCAGTTTTAACGGAGCAGAGCGAGCTGACAGGCAGAGTTAGAGACTTTTTCTGTCTGTTTCTCTCTTTACAAAGACGCATGTTGCAGTCAGAGTCTTCTCTGAGATGCGAGCACGACATACAACACAATTTATCAAATTACACAACGGATATACAGTATGAAAATAAGATTGATTGGATTATACTCACAGGAAGTATAAAACCTTTTACATGCGTCTATTAAAAGTAAAGTAACACAAAAATGTCAGGGAAATTACTTTACTTAGATTTAAGTACTGCAGTTGTACATTTGAAATACCTTCCTACCTTTCTGATAGGAAGCCTTCTTGAGGTGGTATAAAACATTTCTTCTTATATTCTGATTTGAGTTGTGGACAACTATGACCACATGAATTAAAAAAATTAAACATTTCACTGCCCAAGTAAGCTATAACACAAGTCTTGTTCATCAGACTACATGCTGTACAGTATTTGTAATTTTATTTATTATGCATTTCTTCTTCTTCATTGCATGATTTAGAATAATAAGGTGAGAAATGGGTCTGTTCTGAATTCATCCTGCACTGCAGCAGCTAAAAAAGTCCATTTAACCCCAAAAACGCTTTTCTTTTAGGCAGGCTGGAGCAGAAAACAACTCACCTTTCTCAAGTTGTACAGTAATGTCACATGTGTATGAAGGTGGATCAAACAAGCTAATCTTAAATGTCAAAGTGGAGAGGAGCCTAGTAGGCCTATTTATTTTCATTCATTACACAATATGAATAAGCTATGCAGACAGTTGTAAAGAAAGAACATCTTTTTCTTCTGTTCTCTACTTGTTATAGTTACACAGTATTAGGGGTGTGGGCTGTATTAAAAGTATCCACTGTTCTCCCATGCTCTAACACACAGTAACGATGAAATGTGTGCTGTTCTCACATTCTTCCTCTGTATGTACACATAAACAACAAGGCAGGGAAATATAAAAGGAATTCATTTTATTGTTTGGGGGTTATTTGTTGCTCTCCTTCTCCTTCTTCTTCTTTTCCTCTGAAGAATATGGTTATCTTCTCCGCATGCCTCCTCCTGTGTTTTCTGTGTGAGAAGTACAGTAACAAGCCTTCATTAAATCATTTCGACTGGTTAAGTGCAGTAAAGTTAACTTTAAATTGACTTCACCACCACACATAAAACACGGCTTAATAGCAATCACATTTAACAGAAGCATAAAATTCTTCTTAATGGTAACTGTTAAGATTAGTTTATTTGTTAGTCACCACCACTAGCTTAAGAGCTTTAGCCTATATGATGTTAGCACTACATAAATTAGCCTAGCGGCTAACAGACTTTTACTCTCCTCATAGTTTAAGAGATTACATGTATTATTCATAATATTTCTTACTCACCGCTAGTGAAGTCACTGCATCTCCCGACACAACACCACGGTTGAATTTTCACCCTGAATGGCGTTTTTGTTGAAACAGCAGCTGAACACAGCAGAGCAACGAGCTGCTCCGTGTGGGAGCATTTACCGTAAATACTCGAATAGGAGTGCACTCCAGATTTAGCTGCGGCTAACTGATGTGGCTCTCAGAAACAACAGCTCACTTTCCTGCAGTTCTGTGTCCGTATAAGTCGCTAATTGAAAACACTGTCTGTCAGAGCGTCCACGTGAAAAGACAAGGAAGACATGGCTGGTAGTGTCTTCAAACAGAGCTGCTAAACACCTCAGCGCACTGAAGGAAGCCATCTGACTGCGTGAGAAGCAGCTCGTTGATGTCTGCAGGCAGAGTAGGCCTAGAGCTCTCCTGTCTGACTGGTCCACCAATAGGAGAGAAGTTCACCCCTTGAGACACAGCCCCTCCTCATTTGCATAATGAGGCAGAAATGCATACAGAAATGTAAAAAGGACAGGCAGAAATAAATACCATACTCTATTACTTTTGTGTATTTAATTGGATGCTTATTTATTTATTGAGCATTTATTTATTTCTGTATTTATTTCTGAATGTGTCAGGATCGGTCCTTCATATCTGAGATGTTTTTAAAAAACTCAAAAGGCACCTTCTAAACCATTTCCCGTCTGGATTCACAGGACTCACTTTGAACAGTTTTCTACCCCAAAAAATCTTCCAAACTATTTATAGTGTCTAGATAAAAGTTTAACATGTCAAGGTAAAAGAGATAACATTTCCTCGGAACCTCCAAAAAACCCCAACATGCGTTTTTTTACACAGTGGTGCAAGTCGTCTCAGGAAGTACAGCTGATCTCTTCTTGTCCACATGTTGTAGTGTGTCTCTCTGCGTGTGTTTGTGAATGAAAGGCAAAATAGTAAAGCCTCTTGGAAAAAAGCACTATATGAATGCAGCCATTTACAATTCAAATAAATACATTTAGTATTAGACTTAAGTACAAATTTGAGATTTTTTCCCTTTACTTAAGTATTTTCAGTCAGTTGCACTTTTTACTCCACAACAATTCAAAAGCAACACTCATAAAATATGATGTACTCTTGACCTTCCCAACAGTGTTTAAAATACATGAAACCAGCTCCACTTTTACCAACTGTGGTCACAAAAGTCTACCTAAACATTAAAGCAGGGGAAGGCAACGTTGGAGAAACTAATAACACACAGCTGGATTAAATCCCACCCAGTCCGTTCAGACCTCCCTCCAAAACACATGTTCATGCACAGTGAGCTCTTGCAGGGAGGCAGGTCTTGCAGCCTCTTTCCTTCTCAGTTCATAAACGTTTGCTACAGTTGACCTGGCTTTCTGTGTGGATTTCAGCTTCACCGACACAGGAATCAGGTGAGAGTTGGTGAGAGGGGATTTTACATAATTCTCTGTGAGAATCGCATTCCTGATTATAGTTTAAATCTGATTGGACGGAGGCTGAGCATTATTCTCATATAACGTCATACCTCTGACACAGTTTCCGCACCAGCTTTCTGTTTTTGTTTATATGGTTGTTCTGTATCTCTTTTCTGTCTGGGTTCGTTGCATGTATCTGTTCCCAGGAGCACACTGTCTCATAATCTGTCCACACCAGGATGTAGATCCCTACACAGTTAACCACAGTGTCCATTTCACGGGAGGTTACTGTCCGTTTTAGCTTTCAGTTGGACTCAGACACTAGATAAGTGTAAAATAGTAAAAATGATATCCTCGTTCATCTCCTTTTTTCAAATGTCTACAACGGAGGAGGGAAGTGAGCATGAGCTTTAGAGTCACAATGTCCACATTTACAGGATATATACCAGGTGTAAATATACTGCAGTTACAAGCTGTTTTAAGTGAAACCTGAGCAAATATGGCAGGAATGAGGTTCTGAGAGGTGCTTTCAGTTGCCAAACTTGTTAAGTATTGTGATATATTTAAGTGTCTTCACCGTTGTGCAGCTCATCTGCCACTGTGCATGAAGTGTACAATTGTAATTGTTCCTTTTTCTTACAGGGACGCAGCAGTAAAAACATACATTTGTGCCCTAATGAGGAAGGAAAGACCCATAAGTGAAACACTCACATCTGCCTATGAGGGCCTAAAATCACTGAAAACAAAACATGTCTGCTGTGTTGACCACACCTTAACAAATACTTCCTCTCTTGATGTAAATGAAAGTCATAGAAAAGGTGCACGAAGTGAAAGATGGACACACCTTTATGAAATTTCCTCCCAAAGCCTAAAGGTCCTTATGCTCCTTTCTGTCTTTGTGCTAAGCTAGGCTAAACACATTTCCTAATTTTCTTGTCTCATACCTGTATTGTTGTATTTACATTACATTTATTCATTTAGCTGACGCTTTTATCCAAAGCGACTTACAATTGCTATACATGTCAGAGGTCGCACGCCTCTTAGGCGCAATTAGGGGTTAAACGTCTTGCTCAGGGACACAATGGTGGATTGAACCCGGGTCTCTCACACCAAAGGCATAGTCTCTTATCCAATGCGCCATCACCACCCGTTTGTATTGTATTTGCATTGATGTTTAGTTTCTTCACACGGAATCCTTCTGAATTCTTTACACTAACAATCCTCTTTCCTATAGGGTGAGACTGACACCAACATGAGAGACTACCAGTGGGCTGAAGATGACTTTGATCTGCCCTATGGGGTCAGTCGACTGGGCCTCTCTGAGCCAGTTAGTGATGGAAATTACATCATGTACCACGGCACCACCAGGCAGAATGCTCAGTCCATCCTGGCCACAGGTTTTAGGCAGTCTGCAGACGGGATGCTCGGCCGCGGCGTCTACCTCAGCAGAGACCTGGAGAAAGCTAGCCACTATCCCATTAATCACCCTGAGTCTGACAGGGTGGTTATTAAGGTAACGGTCAACGTGGGGAAGGTGACCGCCATCAGTCGTCAAGGCCATCCACGTCAGAAGACCTGGCATGACTTCGGTTATGACACCGCCTGGGTGCCACCAGGGTGTGGAATGATGAAGAGCAATTTGGAGGTGGATTGTGTCTGGGATCCCAAAAGAATCAAGATCATTAAAACCATCAAACCAAGCCCAGTTTAACCCTCCTCAGGATGTGGTGCACGAGGCCACATGTGAGATCTACGAGCTGTTAACCAATTTATTTTGTATGTTCAAATGTATTTTTATATATTTGGATAAAAGGTAAATTAAATTTTGTTCCTGTCATTGTAACCTGGAGAATAAACAGGTCGTGTTAAACCTGAGCTGCTGTCTGGTTTGTTGAAAGTGAGATATCTGCCTCTGAAACATCTGCAGCCACATTTGAAAAACTCAAAAGCAATTTTCTAAACTATTTTCTCCTTAACTCTAGATTCACATGACTCACTTAGAACCGTTTTCTACCAAAAAATGGTCCAAACTATTTATAGTGTCTACATAGCTGTTTAACATGTCACGGTAACAGAGATAACATTTCCTTGGAACCTCCAAAAAACTACAACATGTGTTTTTTTTTACACAGCGGTGGAAGTCCACATGTTGTAGTGTGTCTCTGTGTGAGTGTGTGTTTGTTAATGAAAGGTAAAACTGTAAAGCGTCTTGGATAAAAGCACCCTATCAATGCAGACATTTACTATTCTACGTACATTTAGTATTAAGTACAAAAGTACAGTCTGTGTTTACTTTCAGTCGAACTCAGACACTAGATGAAATGTTTAATGTAAAAATTCTATCCCAGTTCATGTCCTTGCTTTTTCAAATCTCTACAACAGAGGAGGGAAGTGCAAAGTGTCCACGTTTACAGGATTTATACCAGGTGTAAATATACTGCGGTTACAAGCTGTTTTATGTGATGGAAATGAAAAGCAGGTGCAGGAATGAGGTTCTGAGAGGTGCTTTCAGTCACCAAACCAGTTTAGTATAGTGATATACAGTATTTAATTGTCTTCACCGTTAAGCAGCTTATCTGCAATTGTAAATTGCAGATAAGAAATTTACAATTGCAATTGCAGATAAGCTAAGGGACTAAAATCACACTGACTGACAGTACAGAAACTGGTTTAGGAAAAAAAAAATAAGTTTTTACATATGGCTGTTGAGGTGTAGGCCTATGTTGTATTTAAGATTGTTGTCATGTTGATTGTGTAACTGATGTCCTGAAAAATTGCACTTTATTCCTTTATGTTGTTCACCAGGAGTCCAGAATTATGAGCAGTTTCCCGACTCCTGTCCTGTTCGTCCCAAAAATCTTACTTAACATGAGTTTCGATTAGGTAAAGCTGAATAAAACATTAAATACTGATCGTTCTGAAAGATTCTTTTGGTGTTGCACAAAGATGGGCATTGTTCGGCTCTCCATTGGCTACAGCAGGAGCTGCAGGGTCTCTCTGTGTCAACAGAGATGTTTTATCCACAAAGTAACACACGAGTGCTCTTTTTCCCCTTTTTGTTTTCTAGTGTAGATGAAGATGGTGGAAGTTTCAGTCACGAGGACAGGGGAGGTGTAGCTGCAGGTTCAGCGTACAGATGTGACGGGCGCAGCACTGATGAAATTAATTAAATAAAATCAATTGTATGTAACAGATCATGAATTAGCCTACACACTGGTACATACAACACAGTTATTATGGCAAACCGTTAAACATTTATTCCTTAAAACTTACTAGCCTCTATTTAAAAGCTACTAGTTACCAATCCATTAGTTACTAGTAACTATTCCTGTATTACTAGTAACAATTGATTAGATACTAGTACTTAATTTTTAGTTACTAGTAACCATTTTCCGTTGAAATCTAAGGGGCTCTGCAGTTCAGATATCGTCTATTCAAATAGTTACTAATAACTATTTCCATATTACTAGTCACTATTATTTAGCTACCAGTGCATGTTTTAGTTACTAGTAAGTAGTCCATTATTACTAGTAAGAAATAAAATGTTACTATAAACTAACAATTTTACTAGTCTATATTAATGAAAGTTCGAACAGTTACTATTAACTAATGAATAGGTAATATCTGAACTATAGAACCCCTTAGTTTTCAATGGCAAAAATGTGCAATTATTTACTAGTAACTACAAAAATTAAGTACTAGTATCTAATCAATTGTTTCTAGCAAAACTGGAATAGTAACTAACTATTCCTGTTCTCAACTAAAGTTACTAGTAACTAATAAAAGTCTACTAGTAGCTTTTAAAAAACTACTTGTAAGTTTAAAGGAATAAATGTTAAAACGGCTTGGAATATTGGTTCTAGTACCTAAATAATAGAGACTAGTAAAATGGAAAAGTTCAATTTAATTCAATTTTATTAATATGGTGCCAAATCACAACAGCAGTTATCTTATTGCGCTTTTCATAAAAGAGCAGGACCATACTCTGTGAAATTATTTACAGAAACCCAACAATTCCCACCAAGAGCAGCACTTGGCGACAGAGGCAAGGAAAAACTTCCTTTTAAGAGGCAGCAGAACCATGGCTCAGGGTGGGCGGCCATCTGCCTCCACCGGTTACAATTGATAATTACAAGTAACTAATGAACAGATGATATCTGAGCTGCAAAATGTGCAATTAGTTACTGGTAACTAAAAAACAAGTAACGGTATCTAATCAATTGTTGCTAGTAAAACAAAACTATTCCTGTTGCCAACTAAAGTTATTAGTAACTAATAAATAATTACTTGTAGGTTTTAAATAGCGACTAGTATTTTTTAAGGAATAAATGTTAAAATGGCTTGCCATATTGGTACTATTATCTAAATAATAGTAACTAATGAACAGATCACATCTGAATTGCAGAGCTCCATAGATTTTAATGGCAACGTTCAATTAGTTACTAGTAACCAAAAAAAATTTACAAGTAACTATTTTGTAGTTACCATAGTGTCTAATCAATTGTTAGGCTACTAGTAAAATGGGAGTAGTGACTATTTTTATTGCCAACTACAGATAAGTACTAGTAGGTTTTACTGCGTTTACAGCGTTTGCTGTCAGGGCCCCGAGGCTCTGGAACAGCCTGCCCGAGGAAATCAGGTCGGCTGAGTCAGTGAACTCTTTTAAGTCCCTTCTTAACTTTTATAGGAGAGCCTTTCCCGATCTTATTTGACTTTATTTTATCCCTTTCATTTTATTCTATTTTACTCATTTTATATTAATTTTTCATGCTCTTATCTTGTTATCTTGTATCTTGTCTACACGTGTTAAAGCACTTTGTAACTTGTTTTTGAAAAGTGCTCTACAAATAAGGATTATTATTATTATTATTATTTTAACTAGTGAAATTTTAATGGAATAAATGCTATAATGGCTTTCCATACAGAGACTGTGTTTTTCCCTAATGACAGACAGTTGACTTCGTGCCCAATAAAAACTTTCACGTGACATGGTTTTACAGTTTGTTGACACATCTGGTCACACTGGTCTCTTCCGGACCCAACCAACGAGTGACGTCACAGCGGCCACGCCCACGTCAGGTTTACACCCTATCAACAAAGGTGCCCCCCCCCTCCTCCTCCTCCTCCTCCTCACCAGAGCACAGCACGCCTTCGACCGGACGGGAGTCCGTGTGTTACCGCGCACATTACCGAACATCAGCAGATCGAGACGCATCATCCGCAGGAGTGTAAGATATTTTTTTTCTAACCCTCTACTCTGTATTTTGGCGCAATGGTTCGGACTCGCGCAGCTGCAGAAGCACCACCGCCGGACTGCATTCTTCCCCTCGGTGAAGATCCCACGGTAAACAGGGCTACTGCTGCTGCGTACTGACCCTCCCCCACACGGACACCGGAGAGCCTCTCTGAGCCGCCAGCTCGGCGACGCCGCCGGTACCGCGCTGAAACCCTCCCGCTGAGTGTTGTTCTACTGGCGGACTAAGGGCTCCTGGTTCAGGTGCGGACACGCAGAGACTCGCGGAAGCTGCTCACGGCTGGTTAGCTGCTACCGTCGCTAGCTCTGGTCGGTGTGCGCTCACCTCCCACACGTCACGCACTACGTATCCACGAGGCCGCGCCCCCTGCAGTGGTAGTCCCGTGCAGCCCTCTGCTTCATTTTAAAAACATGCTGTACAAAGACATCCGGGCAAATCTATGGTTTTTATTCTGTCTTCCAGGCACCCGGTGCTGAAAACATGCTCACGTCTTCCGATAAGGCCCTGAGATCAGTGTGCTGCAGGCTGACAGGACAGAAACACAACATCACCGCTGTGTTCGCCAGTCCTAAATAAACACAGCTCTCTGACTCTAAACGGAAATCATACAACAGTGCGAAACAACAAGAAGAAGAGGAACGAAAGTCCTCTCAAAGCCTGAAGGTCTTTATATAAAGCTCCCTGCCTGAACTCTTGGAGGAACCTGCAGAGAGGTTCGTGAACACAAACACAGTAATATTATAAATAGATGAATTTAGGGAGGGTGCTTTTGTGTAATCAATATATATTCTCAGTACTGCGTGTGGAATATGCAGATGGAACAGACATCGCTGAAGTTAGCATCCAATTCAGCAGCTAAGGCAAAAGTGAGACAAATCTGAGTCTCCGTCAAGTTCACGTTTGAGTCAGACACATCAGTTATTTCAGTTATTTCACACTGAAGATAGATTCCAGTTCGACCATCACGGGGAAAGTTAAGGCAAATTCAGGTCCAGATCAAAAACCGTTATGCCTTGAGCTGTCAAATCTGGACTAGAATGTCGCAGAGAGACTACAGCTTAAATTAATCTTTAAAATTAGAGACGCGCAATATATGTTGTTATCGCAATATCTTATTGAAAATGTTACAGAAATTATGCAATATTCCAGTAAATTGTGGACAGATGCATCCGTTGTGGCTGTGTGGCTTAGCTGAGTTATATTTAGAGCCCACTTGATATGAAGATCATGTTTCATTGGCCAGACACCCTATCATATAAAGAGGTGAGCAACTACACAAACATACGCTACGGAGCCTAGCACGTGACGGGTGTGTGCGTACTTTGACAGCTTGGGAGTGAACGGAGAGAGAGAGGAAATAAAAGAAAAGTGAAGCCAGTCAGGGGACCGAAAGAAAAGAAAAAATAGGAAAAGTAAGAAGATTGTGTGGCTCGGGGAGACAACGAAAACAACAGGGATCAAAGGGGAAACTTGTGTTTTTACATGGTTAAGAATATCGAAATTTATATATATCGTTATCGCAATATTCCTAATAAATATCACATATTGTCAATATCGTGCACTCATAGTGAAAATGCAACAAAGAGCGAGTTTTTCGCCGTTTTTCACTTTTAACCATAACTTTGTCCTTATCGGCAGAATTGGAAGCTAACTTCAGCGTCATGTGGAATAGTTGATGTGTTGGACTCAAATGTGATCTTCCTGACGGAGACTCAGACTTTTTCACTTTCAACATCACTTCCTAATTTTGTGTTTTCGTTCCTGGATTGTTTTATTTGCAGCGATGTTTAGTTTTCATTGCTTGTAATCTTTACATTAATAAACGTCTCTCTCCTACAGTGCGTCCAGCATGCAGTACCAGTGGCTTGAAGATGACTTCGAGCTGCCCGCCGGGGTCGGTCGACTGGACCTGCCTGAGCCAGTCAGTAATAAAAATTACATCATGTATCACGGCACCACCAGGCAGAACGCTCAGGCAATCCTGGCCACAGGTTTTCGGCAGTCTGCGGGCGGGATGCTCGGCTGCGGCGTCTACCTCAGCAGAGACCTGCACAAAGCTAGCCGCTATCCCCTGAATTACCCTGAGTTTAACAAGATCGTCATTAGGGTTGAGGTCAACGTGGGGCAAGTGATCGCCATCAATCGACCGGGCCATCCACGTCAGAAGACCTGGCACGATTCCGGCTACGACACCGCCTGGGTGCCGCCCGGGTGTGGGATGGTGCCAAGTGGTCTGGAGGAGGATTGTGTCTGGGATCCGGATCGAATCAAGATCGTTAGAGTCATCGAACCACAACCGGTCCAGGCCATCTATGGAGTTAATGCGTGGGGCTACATGTATGTAAATATTATCAATACTATCAATAAGGAGGTGAAGTTACTCTGATGGAAAGTGCTCTTTTAAACCTTCAGCAGAAAATGTGTCAGTGTCTGACTGATGAAAGCAGATTGATCCTGTATTTTTTTTTTTCCAGGAAACAAATCACCCTTTTGGAAAATAGTAATATTCTCAGATCCTAAGATATTTTTTGTTTTAGCACTGTTGCAGCGCTGAAGAAACGTCTGGCTGAACCCATTTTCATCCGGGCATAGAGAGGGAAAACACTCTGGCATGTTTGAATTTTATTTAAACCGATCACAATCGTCTGGAGCGGCACTAATGCTGCGTTCCAGGCAACTCAGAAACCTCCGACCTCCAACTAGAAAACGTACAACTACTTAAAGTCAGAGTTCCTATTTGTGAACTCGGAGAAAAAAAAAATCTGTACCCCGACTTTACAAGTAGCAGCTGAATGACGTCACACAACAATGGCAGCTCACATTGAAACACACATTGTAAATGGTAATCCACAAACTAAAATGCAACATAAAGTATATTTGCATGTATTTAAATAAAAAAATAATACTGTCATATAGTAAATTGATGTAGAAATCTAAAAATATTTTGCAAGAGCAATTAGGTAGTTGGTTACAGTAAACAATCTCTGAACGTCTTTTCGGGGATTGCCAACTGATGTAGCTAGACGGGTACACAGTTAACGAGTATTTGTGTCACTTGTTTTCTAGGGCACTGCTGAGGGTGCAATTGTGTGCACACCTGACAAAGAACCATCAGTTTGTCACGGTCAGCCATGTTTTTTCGTCATGAACTCTCATGCACCTGGAGCGCTTTCAGGTCGGAAGTTGGAAATTTCAACTGGGAAATTTCGGCCAGTGGCAGGCTTTTACCCACAGCCTGCGTCCTGTGAGTCAGAGTGGTCAGACTGTACCATGCACTTTTATAAATGATGGGAAAGAACATTTTTAATAAGGTAACAGTTGGAAAACTGTGAAGAAATCCATTAAACAGGATATTCTTTAAACATATGCACAGCAGAATAAAGAGTAATCGTTAAACTGACATGCAATATTTTTATAGTAAAACACATTTCAAAGTATTTAAAAAGGTGCAGAAAGTCCCATTTTATTTTCCCAGTTAGAGTTTAGGTGTAGTATGCTGTACAGACTGTAAAGACCTGTGAGGCTGATTTGTGATATTAGACCTTTGGACCCATTTAAAAACCAACACCTGCATTTTGGTCTATATCTTGGGAAACATCCTCGCTACTATGTTTTCGTTTGAAAACGGAGACCTTCTGCCACCTTTGAGCTCAACGTTAATTTTAAAACGACAAATCCAAACACCTAAAATGCAGAGAAGTTTGAAAACGCTGCTGACCCTGTTTTGGTTTTTAAACTCCGGGGTAGCGTTTTAGTTGAACAGGCGAAAACGGCGTTACTTTGAAGCGATACATGACACAGACGCTCACATTTGGCAGAAACGCGATGCTACTGACAGAGTTTTAGTTTTGGTTAAATCATTTTTATTAAAATATTATGTGTTAATAACACTTATACACTGACACTCGATGCAAAGAAATCTCTGCTATGGTTCTTCGTCATAGCTATTCTTCGTTCGTCTGTAGTAGTACTTTCTTTTATAGTCGAATCTTCTGCAGCTGCGGAGTAGACAATCTGCTTCCTGTTTACACGCATGCCCAGTGTACATGAACGGCCACTTGATGTGCGTTTTCAGTCATTTTAATATAGACGGGGATCTGATGTGTGCTGGGATTGTCTCCGGGTTTAAAACCCAAACGTAGCAGTGTGGATGTAGCCTTAGAATAAGAAGACTCTACAGCCAGGTTAGCATATTAGAATAGTCATTGTGAGCATGTTAGCACGCTGAAGTTAGCATTCAGCTCAACGCTCTGCTGTGAGTAAGGAAGCTTAAAGATCAACTTTAGCCCAGTGTGGGGGAGAAAAAAATGCAGCCTCCTGATTATTTTAAATGGCTCCAGTCCAGAGACACGAGAGGTTCCAACTGCCAGCCCTGAGGCCCAGATTAAAACATAGCCGCAATTTGCCAATCAGATGCGAGCAGGCACACATCCCTGGCACATGTCTTTGTCACGTGACAGCTGAATTTGTACTATTAACGTAGTGATTGTGGCAACAAAATGTATACACCTCTGTGCAGTTTTGTTCCATCTGATGAGCCTTAAAACTCTTGGATTTAGTACTCAGTCACGCCTCTATCAACACAGCCTGTTTTAGCTCTGAGGCTTGTTTCACTTTGACAGAGCTAGGCTAACAGTTTCCCTCTGCTTCCTCCCGTCTTTGTGCTAAGCTAAGCTAAACACATCCAGAACTGAAAATGGACCCTAGATATTTGATTGTATCATATCTTCATTTTCTGGTTTCATTCCTGGATTGTTTTATTTGCAGTGATGTTTAATTTATTTGCATTTACTCTTTACACTAATAAACCTCTCTCTCCTACAGTGCGTCCAGCATGCAGTACCACTGGGCTGAAGATTGCTTCGAGCTGCCCGCCGGGGTCGGTCGACTGGACCTGCCTGAGCCAGAAAGCGATAAAAATTACATCATGTACCACGGCACCACCAGGCAGAACGCTCAGGCCATCCTAACCACAGGTTTCAGGCAGTCTGCAGACGGGATACTCGGCCGCGGCGTCTACCTCAGCAGGGACCTGCAGAAAGCTAGCCGCTTTCCCATTGGTCACCCAGAGTTTAACAAGGTCGTCATCAGGGTTTTGGTCAACGTGGGGCAAGTGATCTCCATCAATCGGCAAGGCCATCCACGTCAGAAGACCTGGCATGACTTCGGCTATAACAGCGCCTGGGTGCCGCCCAGGAGTGGATTGGCGATGAGCGATTCGGAGGAGGATTGTGTCTGGGATCCAGATCAAATCAAGATCATTAGAATCATCGAACCACAACCGGTCCAAGCCTATTATGTATACGGTGCGCAGGGCTACATGTGAGCTCTAAGGGCTGTTAGCAATTTATTTTGTATGTTCAAATGTGTTTTTATATATTTGGATAAAATGTAAATGACATTTTGTTACGGTGTCATTTTAACCTGGAAAATAAATGGGTCGTGTTAAATCTGAGCTGCTGTCTGGTTTGTTGAAAGTGTGATAAGTATATTTTTATTCTGAAGATCTCAAAGGCAACATGCCTTTCTTAATCATTTCCCCCTTCACTGTGGATTCATGTTTCACATCTGCTTTCACTGAAGCTACTTTCTTCAAAGAAACAGTTTGGTGGTTAACATGGGAAACAGTCTTATGTCACAGTTGTGAGTGGTAAACTTGAAGGTTAGCATGTCCACCACTGACACTGCATTACAGAAGAGTCAGAACCACCAGGAGGATCACCTGATTACACCTGAGACAGGAAGTGGAACAAAACAAGCACCCTGCTCGCTAGAACATTTATTTGTCATTATTTTTTTAAATTAAGATTTTACATGAGCTTATAAAATATAATGCATTGTTAACCAACCCAACAGCATGTAAAATATATAAAACTAGCTCCGCCTTCACAATCTGTGGTTAAAAAATGCTACTTAAACATCAATACATCAGTATATTATAATTCAATAACCAATAATAGTCTATTTTCTCGTGTTGATACTATTGATACTTTAAAGGTACAGTGCAGGACTTTTACATATAAATGAACATCCTTTACATTTATTCTCATGTATATCAAGTCTATGATCGCCCGGTAAATCTCTCTGTATTCGTGTTTCATGCCGCAGCCATAGAGACCCAACATCGGACAAAGATGTGTGCAGTATGGCGAACTTTTGTGTAGTACTCTCACTGCCAAAGACAAAAGTTCAACACTGCAGGTTTAAGTACATTTAGCTGATAATACGTTTGTTCTTTTCCTTAAGTAACAGTTTTAATGCAGGACTTTACTTGTACTGGAGTATTTGTACTGTGTGGTATTGCTACTTTTACTTAATTAGAAAATCTAAATACTTCCTCCACCACTGTTTTCTACTACAAACAAGATATATATATATATATATACATATTAGTGAGCTTTATAGGTGCTGGCTCTGTCTCTTACTTTTGAGTCCATCATGACACATGTTTACCCTAATTAGGTTATTTTATTATTTGTAGTAGTATTGTTTGTATATTTATTAATCAGGGACAAACTGCTGACTGGATCATAAAACCGAACTGTGCCTGTCTCTCTTTAATCACTAAATAATCCATGTTACGACATGAAACTTTGAGAATATGGTTATTCTCATATACAGTTATGTTAGTATTTGCAAACAACTATATGTGACAAATGTGACATGCAAAACTATGTAAGAATTTTATTTTTTATTTTTTTAAATAAAATGACCACACCACATACAATAATGTGCAAAGTTATTTAAATGTATGTAACATAATCCTACATGCAGTAGGTGGTTCTGAAATGTGGTTTTCAGTTACCAAACCTGTTTCCTCTTGATAGTCTCATTCATTGTCTCCACTGTTATACCTCACCTGGCCAGGTTCACCCTGTCACCCACCTGTTTGGGGCAGAACTCTTGTTACCAGAATAAACCTTTGGACAAAACAACAGATTATATCTTTTGTATTGTTCCAGATATATTCCCACATGATTTTCTGCCATCTCTACACCCAGTTTCCTCTCATAGGTCAGAAGAATTTAAGACCATAAGGACCCTGTCCTCAAAGAGGTTTGATCCTTGAATCTATTTGACACCTATAAAATCAGACTTGTTAATGATTGGAGTGCGAGTGGATGTTAACCCTGATCTTCTTTCAATACGCTGAACAGCACAATTACAATTTACAAACAGTTGGACATTATATTTCTTCCAGTTTTGTATTGTGCTTCATCCTACTTGATGCTAAAGCTGGTCCAGGGACCCAACAAGTCAGGGGAAGATTAGTGCGAAGAGATTCAAAATGACCACAGAGAGACACAAAATAGCACAATGAAATGCAAAGAAGAAATGTCAGTCCTCATGTTTTCAAATCTCTACAACGTAGGGCAAGTTAGCATAAGCCATAGCACATACAGGAAATACGCCAGGTTGAAATATACTGCAGTTACAAGCAGTTTTATATCATGGAAATGAAAACAGGTACACAAGCACAAGGTTGTCCAAAGTCCAATGCTCACATCTGCCTATATGATCCTGCTGCTGGCTGGCGTCCTGCCAGCAGCAGGATGATATACAGGATGTATTTATTTTGGAACACACCTAAATAAATACATCCTGTCTGACTGTAAACGAAAGTGAAAGATGAACGCACCGTTACGGAATTTCCTCCCAAAGCCTGAAGCTCCTTATAAAAAGCCGAGCAGACTCACAGCCTGCACTCTTGGAAGAACGTGGAGAGAGGTACGTGTTTTACATAAAATATTATCAATTTGAGGAGATGAATTTAGTTAGGCTGGAGGGAAAATTCTCTTAAACCATCAGTGAAATATATTGAGTCTGACTCAACTGTGAGCTTCCTGACTGATAAAAGCAGATTCATGTTGTTTGCCTCACACTACAGTTTAATTTTATTTCCCAGTTAAAAGGAGTTTAATAAATAAATATGTGTATCAAATGTAACAGCAAACCATCCAAAAGATGATGAGACGTTTCAACAGATCAGTGGACCTGTTGGTTACACTGGAACAAGTTTAAGGGGATCATCAAAGTCAATGTTATGGTGGCGCTGGAGGAAAAGTATTTTGTGTTGGGCGGTAATTGCATGCTATTACGCAAATGGTACCAACAAGCTAAACTATGATGGTGAACATAGTAAACTTTACACACATGGTAAACATTAGCATATTAGCCATGTCATTGTGAGCATGTGTGTGAAAGAAATGCGTCCAAACGTTTCACCTGGCTCAACTTCTACCTGACCACAATATGACGTCTTGTTTAAATTTTTGATGGAGCTATAGCTAACGAGTTTCCTCTGCTTCTTCCGGTCTTTGTGATAAGCTAGACTGAACATCCAGAACTTTAAATGGATCTTAAATACTGTAGTGTGTTGTTGAATACTTTCTTAACTTTCTGGTCTCATTCCTGTATTGTTTAATTTGCAGTGATGTTTAGTTTCTTCACATGGAATTCGTCTGAACTCTTTACACTAACAATCCTCTTTCCTACAGAGATACTGACACCAACATGAGCCAGTACCAGTGGGCTGAAGATGACTTTGATCTGCCCCTTGGGGTCGGTCGACTGGGCCTCTCTGACCCAGTTAGTGATGGAAATTACATCATGTACCACGGCACCACCAGCGAGGCTGCTCAGGCCATCCTGGCCACAGGTTTCAGGCAGTCTGCAGACGGGATGCTCGGCCGCGGCGTCTACCTCAGCAGAGACCTGGAGAAAGCTAGCCGCTATCCCCTTAATCACCCTGAGTCTGACAGGGTGGTTGTTGTGGTGGAGGTCAACGTGGGGAAGGTGATCGCTATCAATCGTCAAGGCCATCCACGTCAGAAGACCTGGCATGACCATGGCTATGACACCGCCTGGGTGCCACCCAGGTGTGGAATGGTGCCAAGTGGTTTGGAGGAGGATTGTGTCTGGGATCCCAAAAGAATCCAGATCATTAAAACCATCAAACCACGCCCAGTCCAACCCTCTGTTGGGTGTGGTTCCCGAGGCTACATGTGAGCTCTACAAGGTGTTACAAATTTATTCCAGATCATTAAAACCATCAAACCAAGCCCAGTTGAACCCTCCTCTGGATGTGGTTTGATGTGATGTGGGCTACATGTGAGCTGTGAGAGCTATTACCAATTTATTTTCTATGTTCAAATGTATTTTTGTATATTTGGATACAAATTAAGTGCCATTTTTTTTACTGTCATTGTAACCTTCAAAATAAACGTGTCACGTTAAATCTGAGCTGCTATCTTGGTTTGTTGAAAGTGAGTTATTTTAGGATGTCCGCCTCTGAAACATGCTGCTGCTTCTCTAATATTATGGAAGTGAATGAAATACCAAAGAAACGGTCATGACTTTTTCTAAAGTGGACAGTCTGTATAATAACTCCACAGCTGTTTTTACACTGCTGTCTCCCCGTTTCCAGTCGTGCTAAGCTAAGCTAACTGACCATATTTACCGTAAAGACATCATGAGAGTTGTATCAATCGAATAAAAAGTGAAAAAGAAAGTGTATTAGAGTATTTTTGAGTATATGTTTAATATCTTTAACTATTCCTTTAATATATAATCCAAGTTAATTGTCTCACATCATATTTGTTAATATATTTAATTTAGATGTTAATTCTCTTTTGTAGAGCTTAAGCCACACACACATCTACATTACCGAGAAATGCATGAAAATAAAAATTGGTCTGTATTGTGACTTTGGAGTCCTTCCTTATTGGTCTCTCCTCATACTTCAGCTTAACATTAAAGGTTCAGATCCCAACAGGGGCCAAAGACACATGAGCTTCAGACGGCTTTTAAAATGTCCGGTCTGAACCCAACATCACATGCAGCTATAAGGAGGTTTTTATTAGTAGTAGTGTAATTTATATATTTATGAATGGGGGGACAAACTGCTGACTGGTTCTTAAAATCTGTGTTTCTCTCTCTGTGGGTTAATCACTCACTAATCCATGTTAGGACAAGAACCTTTGACAATATGGTCATTCTCATATGCAGTCATGTCAGTAGTTTGTTTTTGCCATCAACTAACTATATGTGACAAATGCGACATGTAGATCTGTGTAATAAACATTTTGTTTTAAATGTTGGCTCATTTAAAAAACAGTGATCACGCCACGTATCCTAATGTGTAAAGTTATTTTGAAGAATGTAACATAATCCTTCATACTGTAGGAGGTTCTGAAAGGTGTTTTCAGTTACCAAACCTGTTTCCTCTTGATAGTGATGTCTGACTAATTGTCTCCACTGTTATGCCCAGTGGCGGTTCTAGACCAATTTTATTAAGGGGGCCAGGCTGGGGCCAGTTGTTTTGTCAGAGGGGCCCATTCAATCTGGGACAAAAGAGACAAAGGCAAAAGTCAAGTATTTAAAATGTCTTGTTTAGTATATAATGTAATGTTTTAGTAACAGGATCTTTTCAGTAACTTAGTTATAGTTTTATTAAATTACATTATACAAAAGAAATATTCCTGTTAACTTCAGGTCAAGTTACAGGACATTCTTTGATGCAACACTTCTTTGTAAGGCTTAATGAACAGTAGAAGCTCTAGTGTACGAGACTTTCTCTGGATCCCACTTTGTATTTTGTATCTCAGTATAACGTTTGCTAGGAAACAACACACTTCTCCACATTTACTCCTGTTATTAGTCCTGATGTGAAGTATACACAAAATTAAGTACTTGAAAGTAGGCCATCATCTGTGCTTTATAAAGGGGGATACATATTTTGGCAGACTGCATGTCCAGCCTGGTAGGACCAGTAGGCTACTGTTATCGCTTTTTGTGTATGAAAAGTGCTGTTTAAATGCAATGCATTATTAAATTATGATAATAATTTACCCTTTAAGGAGCGGGACTCAGAGCAATATCCAAAGGCTATCCATGCAACGGAAACATGGATTACAAGGACAAAATATTGTCTACAAAGCTGCATTCAGTTTAATGTACATTTCGTCACAAGGAAGATATATTACTATGATCACTGCACACCAGGGCTGTTCAATTACAGATTCAATTGGGACGGATTTTAAAACCAGGACACAGAGATGGGCCGGATATTTTCTCACGAGTTGGGATCATTAGGATTTTATTGACACACTTGTATTGGTAATCTTTACTGGTTCAGTTCTTTATCGATGCTCTTATCAGTCTTATTTATTACTAAATAATTGCATATATTATTAAAAATAATAATTTAACATTTAATCTTAGCTAAATGTTGTTTCTAGATCAGCAACAGGATTTACAACAGCAAAGTCACTAATATCTCACTGGAAACAAATCTAACATGTCAGCAGTGGCAGCTCCTGCCAAATCTCTCAGGGGGGGCAATTGTTGCGATGATGGCTAGGGTGACCAGTTCAATGGTCTTAGTCTGCTATAAGACTAGGATTGTTCCTTAGGCTACATACTGTACAGTATTTGTGAACAGCTACATCCCGTCTCTAAGTAAGTAACAGGCTACAGTTATGTAATAATGTCACATATGCTCAATATGAAGGTGGATCAAACGTAGCTAATCCTAAATGTTTAATGGGGTACAGAGGAGCACAGCATTTACTTTCACTCTTTAAGTTACACACATTACACAAGACTAATAAGGTAAGCAGAGATCCACTTGTTATCCTGTAGATACACAGTATTATTAGGGGTGTGGGCTGTATTAAAGTATCCACTGTTCTCCTGTACTCTAATCACACAGTAGCAACGAGCTATGTGTTGTTCTCTCATTCTCACTCTGTATTTACACATAAACATCAAGGCGTGTAAGGGGAAATATAAAAGGTATATTCTATTATTTTTGGTTTATTTTCTGTGTTGCTTTCCTACTTCTCCTTCTTCTTCTTTTTACCCTCCTCTGACAAGATGCCAGTCTTTCTTCTTTGGTTTCTGGCAATAAAAGAAAAATACAACACATCAAAAAATTGTTACTGGTTAAGTGCAGCTAACTTTAAATTGACTCCACCACCACACATAAAACATGGCTTAATAACAATCACATTTAACATAAGAATAAAATTAACACATTACATGTATTATATACACTCACCTAAAGGATTATTAGGAACACCTGTTCAATTTCTCTTTAATGCAATTATCTAATCAACCAATCTCATGGCAGTTGCTTCAATGCATTTAGGGGTGTGGTCCTGGTCAAGACAATCTCCTGAACTCCAAACTGAATGTCAGAATGGGAAAGAAAGGTGATTTAAGCAATTTTGAGCGTGGCATGGTTGTTGGTGCCAGACGGGCCAGTCTGAGTATTTCACAATCTGCTCAGTTACTGTGATTTTCACGCACAACCATTTCTAGGGTTTACAAAGAATGGTGTGAAAAGGGAAAAACATCCAGTATGCGGCAGTCCTGTGGCCGAAAATGCCTTGTTGATGCTAGAGGTCAGAGGAGAATGGGCCGACTGACAAACAAATTAAATATAAGGATTTTATTAAGAAAAAGGATTACAACGTAGACAACTTAAGATAATACAACATGATGAAAATATAAAGGAATTATTGATAAAATATTATTATAAATACAAATAATGATAAAATAAATGGGTTGACTACATCCAAATCTAGATCTTCATCTAAGCTGCTACTTGACGCAGCAAGAGCATCAGATGCGTCTCTCGGGTGGCGCCAGTCTCTCGGGTAAATGGGATCCATAACTTTGGATTTGTAGTAAAATGAATATAAGTAAACATTATAAGTGACTATGTTCACTAGTTTTTTAAGACATGACTACTATCAACAAATGATTTAAAATTAAAACATACAGTAAGTTTCTAATTATCATTCTAAAAAAACAACTTTCTTTTCATTTACGTTTTTTTTCTTTTTAATTTAAAAGCCTTTATTTATTACTGACCCATTTATCTCTATGGAAAATATAAAGATACTTGAACAGGACACATGTTTTAGCCTTCATGTTGCATCACAAAAACCATATAGACAATTGGGAAAGCTGCTTTTATTCTTTTGAGAGAGCTAAGTTATGTGCTGTGAATGTAATGTGTTCTGTTCAGATATTTATTGTTGTAACGTTACTTTGCTGACTGTGTGCTGGAGAATTTGCAATAAATATTTAGTGTCAAAAGTCAAAAACTCATATTTTCATATCATAATGATCTAACGTTAGTGAGTAAAACATATGTGTGGCTTTCATTACAAAACTATAATAGGTGAGGTTGCATGTGTTTCACCCCCTTTGAATTCAAGAGTTTTTAAGGGCACGAGGAAACCTGTGGGTATCATGGAGTAACGTTACAGTAACGTTAAGTTACACTTGCATGCAGCATGTTAAGCTAACCACGACGTGCCTTACTCTACACTGTTACCCACTGAAATGTCACGGTTCCTACACGTTAACAAATAATTTAGATAAACAATGAAGACGTGTCAAACAAAGACACAGATACTTACAAGACCAAAGTAAATGTCTTTTCGCTTCCAGTGTTTGCAGTAAACTCTCGCCCGTTGCTCGCTAGTGTTGCGTCGTTCAAAGAACGTTTCGTCCAGACCTGCCAAACTGCTGCGTTTACATGTGTTTATTTCTCTGTTCCTCTCTCTGTGCTGGAGTTCTTTAAGAACTTGGTGGCTTGATCCAGATTATTATTAAATTGGTTGAATTTTAATAATAGTGTGTTTATTCATATAGTGTATCAAGCTTATTACTTCAATATATTTACTACAAATCTGATATTAATATTTTACTCATGGATAGGGACGTTAGGCTGCTGTATGAATGAGCACTTTAGAGATAATGATAGTAATTATAAGCCTTTATGTGGCTGGTCTGGTTGTATACTACTCGGGAAAGATTGTGACAATGGAAGGATTTAGCCGGAGTAGTGCTGATTACATATAGACAACATATTTCTGTGGTTTTTACATGGTTTGAATTTGGATGTGGACCCAAGGGGGTTTATATAATGATGATATACAGTTATCAAGAGGTGAATTTGTGCATTATACTTTGTCAAATAAAGCAAGCCAGGCAGCCTTCTGTGTTTGAGAACAGCGCTGTTTTTTAATCGCCCACTAGAGGGCTGCAGCGCCGCAATAACCAGCCTAGTTCAAATGAACAAAATGACTCAAAAAAAGATTAGTTCATTTTAATGAACAAGATTTGAATGAAGGAGACCACACGTAGTCTGTCCAAATAAGAGCCAAATCGTGGCTACAGATAGACCATGTCATTTAATGACACTTAATATCTTGTAGATATTATTG